TCCCGATCCCTAAACGTGCCCGGGGAGGACGGGGTTAAGCGTTGTCTTTAACTATTCATGTCATTGTTTTAAAGGTGTAAACACGTGTCCGCGGGGTCGGAGGTGCCTCCGGACCCCCCCCCCTTTTCCTGAATAACCCCTTCATCCCATGCGCCCCCCACCTTCCCTTCCCACCCCCAATAAATGTCAAGTTTCGTTTTCCAGTCTGGGTGTGAGTCTGTGACTTGTATATATCTCTTTCCACTTTTTTTTTTTAAAAAGAGGCGCTGAGCGCCTTCTACCTGGAAGGGGTTTGACCTCCCCCCGCCACCACCCCACTTCACAATCAGGAGACTGAAAAGGAAGCTGGTCCCCCAAATCGTCCTCCTCGCCTTTCTCACCCCCCACCCCCGGAAGGAAATAGGGATTGGAGGTTGGAAAAGAACTGGATTGACCCGGTGGGTCGGATTATCCCAGCACCCCACTGCCCCACTGTCGAAGGGGTGAGGTGGTGTTTAAATGCATGGTTGGTTGGTTGTTTTCAACGAAAGAGTCTGCGATTTTTGTTCTGATCTTTCCCAGGCCAAGTGTGTTGTCTTGTGTTTTCCCGCTGCCTCGTCCCCCCCAAACATTTTTGTAGCAACGGGTTTGGATCACAGCCCAAACTAGAGCTTTGTGAAATTGATGTTAAATGAGCAACAATGTGCTTCCCAGGGGAGGGAAAACTCTATAAATGGGAATTATGTTCTTAATCATAAATTTTTATAGGGAAAACGGACCCTAAAACTGGGGGTGTCTGTAATTCTATGCCCAATAAAGTATCAGTCTGGAGGTTTGTAAACCCCAGGAACACATGTTGGGCTTGGCATTATTCAGGAGGCTTCAGCTTTTTTCTTTTTTTTAAACAGTGGTAGCCAGTACTATAAGTGTAGTGATTTGTATGATTTAAGTGATTGTTTTCGTTGGGTACTGACATGCTAATGAGCAGTGGCATAGTGTGTACTGGCTTGTTGGGCGGGATGTTTGCTTTCTAGGAAACCATCAGAACTTTGCAAGGGCTCCCTTGAAGAACACAGACCTTACTTTTTTGTACGATTAAGCAGTTATTTTTAAGTTTGTGTCCTTTACTAAGGCTTCCTGTTAGTGATGGGTACTGACTGAAAAGGAAACATGTTTTGTTTTGTTTTTAAATTGGGATTAAGCATCTTGAATTTCATCAATTGCATTTGCACAAACGATCCTGGCTGCAGTTTCTGTTGGATGTTTTGTTTTTCTGGGTTGAGATAAAGTCACTTTAGCTTAGACCTGTTTTGTTTTTGGTGTTGTTGTGGTTGTCATTATGGAGCTCAAGCTCAGGGCTTGGGCACTGTCCCTGAGCTCTTTGACTCAAGGCTAGCATTCTACTACTTTGAACCACAGCTCCATTTCTTGTTTTCTGGTGGTTAATTGGAGATAAAAGTCCTATGGACTTTCCTGCCCAGTCTTGTTTTGAATCATGATCCTCAGATCTCAACCTCCTGGGTAGCTAGGATTACAAGTGTGAGCCCCCAGCGCCTGGCAAGACCTGTGCTTTCTAAAACACAGTGCACTTTTAGTGATTTGCAGGGCTGTTCTAAGAACTTCACTCTAGAACCCCTGAGACTTGCTGTTCACAAGGGTAGGTGACGTATTCAAGCTTGCTTACCCTCATGGCCACCGGTAGAGTCACACTCCAGTTGTCGATCTTCTGTAGATACTTACATAACCCTGTTTAAAAGATGATTGGTGGGGCTGGGAAGGTGGCTTAGTGGTACAGTGCTTGCCTTGCATGCATGAGGCCCTGGGTTCGATTCCTTAGCACCACATAAGCAGAAAAAGCTGGAAGTGGCACTATGGCTCAAGTGGTACAGCACTAGAAGCTCAGGGACAGCATCCAGCTCCATGACTGATAAAAAACAAAACAACAACATAGAAGATGATTGGTTCTGGGTTAAACATCCACCATGAACGAATCTCTTATGTCCATGAGGGTTTGGTCATTTCAGCCATTGTCAGGGGTGCGCTTGGCTTGTTTCTTGAGTCTTCCAAGAAAGACTTCAGAGTCTTTCAATGTGTCTTTGTGTTTTGGTGATGCCCAGGTGGATCCCAGAGCCCGGCTGATTGTGAGGGAGGGGAGGGGCTGAACACTGAGGAGTGTGGGCCCCAGAACCATGTCTACGCGGGAGTCCTTTAACCCGGAAAGTTATGAATTGGACAAGAGCTTCCGGTTAACCAGATTTACTGAACTGAAGGGCACAGGCTGCAAAGTGCCCCAAGATGTCCTGCAGAAATTGCTGGAGTCCTTACAAGAGAACCACTTCCAAGAGGATGAGCAGTTTCTGGGAGCTGTTATGCCAAGGCTGGGTATGTAAACCATTATTTTTTGATAATGTACCATCCAGAAGTCAACTAGATTTATCTTCCCATGCGGCCTTCACTCTTAGCAGTGGCAGCCAGGGAAGAGGCAAGGAAAGCAGGTAGAATACAAAGATCACTAGTGTGGTCACTTAAAGCTTTTGAGGAGCAAATGAACTGAACACTTCCTAGGAAAAACACAAGCCCCCTAGTGTGTATGCATACACTCACTAGGGGTAGTCACACCTACCTCATTGCCGACAAGCACATGAACCCTGAAAGATGCAAGGTAAAAAGCGTCCTGCAGAAATGGTGTGTCTCTGTGGCCAGAACTTCCTGAGGAATCCTACACAGTCGCATACCAGTCAGCAGTTTGTACATTACCAACTCGACTTCCCAGTCTATAAAACGGGACAGTACTGTGTCAGATTGTGCCCAGTGTAAATGTGTATATATGTGTATATGTATGTCTCTAATTTTTTTCCTAATCGAATGTCATATTTTCTGGTTGAGTTTGAACAGCTTTTTAAAAGTATACACTTACTAGCCTAGATGTATCCTAACTAGAGATACATGCAATATCCAAGTTAAGATAAGGCTGAGAAAGTGTTGTACCTGTTGTGTGGTATTTAGGACGGTGGAGGGTACAACTGCTGTGTGGTACTTCGGGACTGTGAGGTATGGCTCACGATGGTGGAGGTACACTTACTTTGTGCAACATAGGGGCTGTAAGGTGTGGGTCATTGATGGTAGAAGGTACAACCTGTTATATGGTATTTAAGAACTGTTAGATATACATCATTAACCGTGGAGGGTACACTTATTACATGGTACTTACGGGCTGTTGGATGTGCATCATGGGTAGTGGTGGGTCCACCTGTTGTGTGGTATGTAGAGGTGTCAGGTGGGATCATTGATGGCCGAGGGTATATCTGTTGTGTGGTACTTGGGTGTCAGGTATGGGTCAGGGATGGTGGAGGGTACACCTGTTAGGTGGTAAGTTCGGGGCTGTCAGGTGTGGATCATTGATGGCAGTGGGTATACCTGTTGTGTGGTAGTTTGGGGTCAGATGTGGGTCAGGGACAGTGGGGGGTATACTGTTGTGTGGTACTTTGGGGCTGTCAGGTGTAGATCAGGGATGGTGGGAAATGAATGAATTGTTCTTCCTGTTGAAGGCTTTCAGTCCTCCAGAAAGCCTGCAATTTCCTGCAGTGAACAGGAGGGTCTTAGTCTGGTTTTTTAGACTGCATGGCACCTTCTGTGTTTCCCTAGTCCTTTCCCTAGTCTGTCTGTCACTTGGAGTTTGAATCAAGGTCCATTCCCAGCTTAAGAATTTGGGAGGTGTTTATAAACCAAAAGCTATAGCCAGAAATATGATGCCCTCCACAGGTAATTATACCAGTCATATTTTTATTTTTATTTTTTATTTTTTCTTTTTTGCTTATGTGGTGCTGAGGAATCGAACCCAGGGCCTCATGCATGCAAGGCAAGCGCTCTACCACTGAGCCACCTTCCCAGCCCCAGTCATATTTTTAAAAAGTAATAAAGTGAAATTAATTGTAATATATTTTCTATACCTCGTAAGAAATACCTTACAAACATGAGTGTCGGTGGCTCATGTTTGTAATCCCAGCTACTAAGGAGGCTGAGTCTGAGGTTGCTGTTTGAGCCAGCCCAGGCAACAAAGTCGGTAAGACTCTTATCTCCAAGTAAGCACCAGAAACAACCAGAAGTGGACTGTGGCTCAAATGGTAGAGCACTAGCTTTGAACAACAAAGTTCAGATAAAGTGACCAGACCCTGAGTTCAAGCCCCAGGACCAGTACTAAAAAGAAAAAGAAACATCAGCATATATATATATATATATATATATATATATATATATATATAACATTAATTAGATGTTGAGGTTTTGGTGCTGTTGATGGTCTGGTCTGTTTTTACAATTAGAGCACATCTCAGTTTGGAACAGCTGTACTTTGAGAACTCAGGCATCCCTTGAGGCCAGGGACTCTGTAGGGACAACACAACCCCGGCAGATGGTGTGCTCTCAGTTGTAAAAGGGAAGATGTGAACATTGTGAGCCTAGGAACATACTAGTCATCAGTTATTCTGTTGTAAGAATTGGCTAGGAAAGAAAGAAAATGCCATACAGCTGAGTAAGGTGTCACATACCTATAATCCCAGCACTTACGAGGCTAAAGAGGATGGAGAGTTTGAGGCCAGCTCTAGCCTACCAAGTGAGAACCTGTCTCCAAACAAAACAAGAAAGGAAAAAATATCTTTACAAGGCAAATATTCAAATTTGAGTTTAGAATCCTAAAGAACAAACAAAAACTAAGCTTTCCTCGGGCTGTTTTTCAGAGTGAATAAACAGTACAGTTAGAATGGCTAGGGAGAATTTTCATTTTGGGAGATAGGGTTAAAGTGTGGCTCACACTGTCTCTGTGCTGATAGAAAGCGAGCAATGTTGGGTGATATTTGTGAACCTGCTCACATGTGCTGTTGAGATGAATTCTCACACACTTTGTTGTGCGATAATTATCACACAGATGAAAACAGCCTCCATTCATTGTCTCCAATTTGTGAGACTTGCCATTAGGTGAAGTCTCTTCCCTAGCTGGATCTTCCAAGAGTTGCTGTTTTGCTATCTAGTTTAGAAAAATGAGCTTGTTTTGATAGCTTGGCTTTTTATTAAGCTTGATTTTTATTTTTGGGATAGTAATAATGGCCCAACACCAGGAAAGGGAGGGGCTGTCAGCTGGCGTGACGAGAAGCAATCATCCCCATAAGTTTGCTTCTGTACTGTATGACTCTGGTATGATTTTTTTTTCTGTATTTTTTAAATTCAACTTTCTTTTGTGCTTGTACTGGGGCTTGAACTCAGCGTCTTATGCTTTCTCTTGACTTTTTCACTCAAGATGGAGCTTTACCACTTGAGCCACAACTCCACTTCAAGCTTTTTTGCTGGATAATTGGAGAAAAGAGTCTTCAGACTTTCCTGCCCAGGCTGGCTTTAGACTGTGGTCCTCAAGATTTCAGCCTCCTGAGTAGCTAGGATTACAAACATGAGTTGCTGACACTCTGGTTTAGGATTCCAATTTCCCAAGGAGAATCTATATGCTTCCCTTTGAACTTCATTCTGATTTTTTCCTGACATTGACTCTTGAGCGGAAAGTGGAAATGCTTCATGAGATGGAAAGGCATCCCTTCTAGAAGTGTCGAGCGGAAATGCTCAGTATCCATCTTACTTGAAATTTCTACACTATAGATGACTTTCAGAGGAAGGTAGCATACTGTGTTAGTCTTGAGGACACCAAAACTGATCCAGAAAAAGGGCATGCTTTATATTTAGACTGTCAGTGCTCTCTACTATCTTCCTAAATAAAGTGATATACTTCTTATGGGCTCATTGAGCCATTTCCTTCTTTAAAAAGTGTGATTGTGTAGGTACCAGATGTTTATGTATGATGTTTTTGTATGCACTTGGTTGAAAACATTGAAATCCTATTCTTTGAATTCCTTTTCATTTTGATTAAAATTCTGTTGGGAAAGTAGAATAATATCTAAAGACATACCCAGTACCTACAGATAATCCATTCATGCTACTGACATATTTAAAGAAATTCTGTATTGCTCTAGGTGTGTTGGCTCACACATGTAACCTCAGCTACTTGGGAAGGCAAAGATTAAGAGGATTATGGTTCAGGGCCAGTCTAGGCAGAAAGCTCATATATGTATCATCCCAGGACACATAGGTAGAAAGCAGGATTTCGTTCCCAGGCTAGCCCCAGGACCCTGGCTAAAACGAAAGCAAAAAATGGCTGGTGGCATGGCTCAAATGATAGAATGCCTGCCTAGCAAGGGCAGGGCCCTGACTTCAAACATCAGCACTACACACTGGGAAGGTGGCTCAGTGGTAGAGTGCTTGCCTTGCATACATGAGGCCCTGGGTTTGATTACTCAGCACCACATAAACAGAAAAAGCTGGAAGTGGCGCCATGGCTCAAGTGGTAGAGCACTAGCCTTGAGCTGAAAAGCTCAGGGACAGCGCCCAGGCCCAGAGTTCAGGCCCCACGACTGCCAAAGAAGGAAAAAAAAAAGCACTTCTTGGGATACCAGTCGTGTGCTATAATAATACAGAAAAATATTTTGTTCAAGGCATCATTACAATTTTAAATTTGTACCATATAGAAGTTGTGTCTAGATGACTAACACAGTTTTTTTTTTCAAGTACTGGGGCTTGAGCTCAGGGCCTGGACACTGTCCCTTAACTTCTTTTGCTTAAGGCTAATACTTTACCACTTGAGCCACAACTCCACTTCCAGCTTTTTGGTAGTTTATTGAAGATAAAGAATCTCACAGATTTCCTACCAGGCTGGTTTTGAACCTATATCTCAGATTTCAGCCTCCTCAGTAGCTAGGATTACAGGCATAAACTGCTGGTGCCTGGCAATAAACACATTTTTGCTCCTATTTTCTACCTTAAGCTAGTCATGTTTTCTGTTTATTTCAGTTATGCTTCTTGATAAGAAACACATAGTTTCATGGGCAGTATGGGGTTTCAATAAGTGTCTTACACAGGCTGGGCACCGGTGGCTCACGCCTGCAATCCTAGCTACTCAGGAGCTGAGATCTGAGGATCAAGGTTCAAAGCCAGCCTGGGCATGAAAGTTTGTGAGACTGACTCTTTTTTTTTTTTTTTGTCGGTCGTGGGGCTTGAACTCTGGGCCTGGGCGCTGTCCCTCAGCTCTTCAGCTCAAGGCAAGCGCTCTACCAC